TTTCAAACTCTATTCTTTGTTCTCGTAGAGCAGCCCGTGTTTGATCATTCATTATTTTCAATAACCTCTCAGTACGAGGTGATAGTTGGGCGTCATCGTCATTGTCCACATTTTCTTGGACATTCCCTTCAAGATTGAGGTTTTCATCCCCAATTTCTTGAGTAACCGGCGCGTTGCTAGATGCATCGTGATCAGACATCGCACTGAAATTATAATACRTATATATAGGGGTCAAATAATATTCTATCCCTTGTACCCCAACAAATCCTAGGTCTCTCCTATTGGTATATATCCCATATAATCATAACCTAGTCACTAAACAATGTCAATACCTAAGTTTGAGTCTGAATATCATTAATGATATCCAGTTCACTCAAACCACAGCTCTGATACCATATCTGTAACATCTGCCTTGAGCAAACCCCAAATTACCAATTCCTATAAAATCTCCAATAAAATATTCCAGAAATGATCTCCCAAAAAAATCCGTTTTACGTATCTATTTGACGTGATATTTTCCCAAATCCTCTAATGTATTCTTAAGAAATAAAATTCTAAAATTCCAAACCTAAACTCCCACTAAATCATAAGTYCTCTTTAACCCAATAATTAAATATACTAAGCAATTAATTGGGCATATTAGAAATTGGATGTTACAACTAATACTAATAATGCCTAGTATCCGAAAGTTTATGAAATTATATATATGACATGTGTGTGGGGAGATTTCAATTGAGATCGAGATTACATTTTTAATTATTTGTGTAGATGGCATTACGGGTACTTAACCAAAGAACTCTAAACATCGTCATTATTAGTAACGTAATTTCTTTTTAGAGTTAAAACTATGATCGTGGATTTGTAGGGAGGGCATAAGGCATATCAAGGGACATTGAGATTAAGGATCGTACGGTGAGTTATACGTGACTTTTTCTATAAATGGATGCACGTTTTATCCATAATTATACCCAAGCTTACTTGGGACTTTTTTTGAGATTTTCGTTATAGCATGTATGCATGAAAACGATTGATAAATTTTTATATGTTGTGGATATTTGTGTGGCAATGGGGATGTACTACGGTTTGAATCTATAAAGATGAGCATGCTTTGTGAGCTTGTCTAAGCCGTAAGTGCGAACATGCTGTGTGAGCTCGTCAGACAATGCTGTGTGAGGTAAACATCTCCCATAACGCTGTCGGCTTTGTGATTTATGTTAAACCATATGCATGACAAATTGTGATTTTCTTTTAAATATACTTTGTTGTGTATGATTTTAAACCGTGTATTCACTGATCCCTAGGCTCACCCATCTCCTTTTAAAAAAAATATGTCCAGGTGATCACTTACTCGGGAGTGGTAGCAAGGGGAAAGAGAAAGCTTAGAACCTGATCATCGTTGAATAAAGACATGTCAAAGAGCGATATTCGAGTTTTTTTAGCGATCAACTTTTTGGCATTTTCTGCATTAAGTTTTATAATCTTGAAAACTTTCATTTCGTTGGAGTCTTTAGATTTGGAACAATATACTTTTGGATGCTTATTTGTGCCAGGAATTTGGGTTGTTTCAAGTGGTATCAGAGCCTTAGTTTAAGAGAAATAGGTTATTAATTTTAGCCTAAGCTTAAACTGAGTTGGGGTATAAAAATATAGAAACAAGGAAAAGGTTATATGATTTAATATTGTTATAGTTGGCTTAACTTTCTTTAAGTTTTGAAAGTGTGCTGAAAGGTGATAGATTTATGACTGTGGTTTTGTAGGAACATGGTTTACACCAAGCAGACTAGGAGCATTGGTCGTCGAGGAGGTAGGGTCGGAAGTCGTGCGGTAGCTGTTGGACTAGGACCAAGGGGTGGTGTCGGGGATCGTGACTGTGCGAGCACTAGTCATAGTAGCAGACGTTCTAGAAGGTTGATGAGCAGTTCTAGGGGTCACATGAGTGTGTCAAGGGTTGAGTCATCTCTATCCACACCTGTAGAGGATTTTTCCTACGATCCAATAGAGGAATCTTATGAGGAGTACACCCCACGCACGCCTACTCGTGAGGACTTGGAAGAGAGTTTAACGAATTTGCATGGTGAGAATGCTGAACTGAGAACAGAATTGACTAAGGTTCAAGCGGAAAAAACCAAAGTGGAATTGTGGTTGAAGAACTTGCAAATGGAACATGCTAATTTAGGGGGGGAGTTAAATAAGTTGTTGAAAGAAAATGATGAACTTTGGACAACAACCACAACATGGCATGGAAGTGTGTAGCATTAGAGTGGGAAAGGAGGATCGCTGCCAGGTCTTGGAGGGTGCGAGTGGGAGACCGAACCCGTTATTACCGAAAAGTGGTCTYAGAATATGTAGGCTTGATCAAAGGGTATTTTTTTAGTTGGGCACATCAATACCATCACGGCCCCAGCTTGGGATTTGTCTGGAAGTACCGTCCAGATAATACTTATGAAGAGTTTGTGCAGATTGCTCACTACCCGATGGACATGTCCTGAGTGAAAGGTTGAGGGAAAAAAAGATAGTCTTACTTTAAGTACTTTTTGGGTGTTTTGAATATTAGTCAGTCATGAGCTTGCTTCATTTTGATTTTATTTTGGTTTACGTTTGAGCCGGTTTGGCGTAAACATCAAGACTTTGTATTGACTCATGTTTTGAATGATTATATTATTTGGGTGTTTAATCTTATTATGTAAATGTTGAACTTGTTCGATAATTAGCTTGAGAACGGATATAATTATGTTAATAAATGTAAATTTTATCGCACACAACAATTATGTCGCGTTGGTCAGGAAGAACAGCATCGGTTACACCCGATGAGGTAGACTCACCACCTATAAGGATTACCCCGAATGTCTAGGAAACCCGACCAACATCTGTTGCGGCTGCAAGGACCGCTAGTACGTGAGGACGAGATCGGGGAAGAGGAAGGGGACGAGGTAGAAATCAAGCAATACCCAATGAACCTCAGCCTTCTATGCAAGCAATCTCTACATCTGGAAGAGGTCGAGGTAGGGGACGAGGACGTACCCGAGCAACCGCGGAAACCCCTGCGGACATCATTGCCCAGGAGGTGACAAAAGCGTTGCAAGTTGCCTTGCCCATGGTACTAGCTCAGGTGCGAGAGGCAGAGTTGAGGAATCAAGAAGATAGGGAGATAAGCAATAGAAGGGAGAATATTAACGATTCAAACAATAGGGAAGACCAACATATGAGGCCAAGACCAGGGAGCCCTATCAGCATGGGTTCGGGACAAAAAGGTTGTACTTATAAGACCTTTTTGGCTTGTAAGCCCCAAACCTTTCAAGGCGACTGTGATCCAGTGGCAGCTATGAGGTGGATAAGAGAGACAKAAGCAATATTCAAAATCAGTAAATGCGCGGGAGAAGATAAGGTGACATATGCATCATCCATGCTCAAATCAGAAGCCCTTTTTTGGTGGGAATTAGTTACTAACTTAAAGGGCGAAGAAGCTATGGCAAGAATGACATGGGAAGAGTTTAAGGTACTATTTAACRACAAATTTTGTCMACRCACTGCAATAAAGCAACTGGAAGAGGAATTTTTGAGATTGGAGCAAGGATCAATGACAGTAAGGGAGTATACAACAAGTTTTACAGAGAAGGCGAGATTCGCAGAACACTGGGTTTCAACAGAGGAGAGGCGAGCAGAGCGTTACATCTATGGACTAAAGGCATCCATTCGAGAATTTGTTCTCACTATGAACCCAACCACATTCCATGTTGCAGTAAACGCAACGGAGATTAGAGAAAAAGAAAGAAATCATCAAAAGGCTGAACGGGATCATATAAAAAGAAAATGGGAAGGTCCGAGCAACGAAACCAAAAAGGAAAAGTTTTTGGGTTCAGAAAGGAAGATGTGGCAAGGGCATGCTACAAACCCATGTCCTAAATGCAAACGCATACACAACGAAGAATGCATGATCAAGCCAAGGGTGTGTTACCGATGTGGGAAACCAGGACACTTTTCTCAGGATTGCAAAGTTGAGAGGAGAGAGCGACTATGTTTTACTTGTAAGTCATCCAACCATATCCAAGCAAATTGCCCTCAACAGAAAAATGAGTATGCCATTGGTCAAAGTGAAAGTCGAAATGGTAAACGGGAGGAAAAGAGAACGAATTTATCATAATCAAAGGGAAGAGTCTTTCATATGACAGCAACAGAGGCCGAAGAAACACCGGACGTAGTGACAGGTACTTTTCTTGTCAACTCTGTACATGCTAGAGTATTGTTTGATTCTGGTGCAAACCGCTCTTTTATATCTACTACATTTTGTGATTACTTGCATAGAGTACCGAAGCCTTTAAGCTCGGCCTTAGAAGTAGAAACTATCGATGATAATCAAGTAACGATTAGAGAGGAATATGATGACTACAATATTCAGATAGAAGGCCGTTTGATTCCATTAAAACTACTTCCTATGACCCTTGGGGAATTTGATATAATAATTGGTATGGACTGGTTGGCCAAAAACCAAGCAAAAATAATGTGTAACAAAAAGATAATTTAGATTGAATTTCCTGAGAGCGAAACCATAGTTATATATGGAGATAGAATAAATAGGAAATCCAACATGATCTATTTGGCAAAGGCAAGACGATGTGTAAGAAAGGGGTATCAGAGTTATTTGGCATATGTGATAGATTCTAAGAAAGAGAAACAGAGTATGAAAGACATTGCCGTTGTCAGAAAGTTTCTTGAAGTCTTCCCAGATGATCTGACAAGCTTACCACCAGAGAGACAAATAGAATTTCAGATTGATCTAGTGCCTGGAGCAGCACCTATTGCTCGAACACCCTATCGTTTAGCACCATCAGAAATGAAAGAGTTAATGTCTCAATTACAGGAGCTGTTGGACAAGGGCTTTATACGCCCTAGTACCTCACCCTGGGGAGCGTCGGTGTTATTCGTTAAGAAAAGGATGGTACGATGCGAATGTGCATCGACTACTGTGAGCTTAACAAAGTAACTATAAAGGTTAGAGAGGAGGATGTGCTTAAGACGGCTTTTAGAACTAGGTATGGACATTACGAATTTTTGGTAATGCCGTTTGGATTAACGAATGCACCTGCAGCCTTCATGGACCTGATGAATAGGGTATGCAGGCCCTACTTAGATAAGTTCGTCATTGTTTTCATTGATGATATTTTAATCTATTCACGCATCGAGAATGAGCATGAGCAACATCTTCGGGCGGTTTTGAGTTTGTTAAAACAGAAAAAATTGTACGCAAAGTTTTCTAAGTGTGAGTTCTGGCTCCGGGAAGTTCAATTTCTAGGGCATGTCTTGACCCAAGAAGGACTAAAAGTAGATCCGACAAAGGTAGAAGCGATAAAAAGGTGGGAGCCACCATAGATCCCATTCGAGGTACGAAGTTTCTTAGGATTAGCAGGTTATTATCGAAGGTTCATTCACGACTTTTCACGAATAGCGACGCCATTGATGTCGCTAACAAGGAAAGGTGTGAAGTTTGAATGGAAACCAACTCAAGAAGAGGCGTTTAGAATCTTGAAGGAAAAGCTAAGCACTCACTGATATTGACTCTACCAGAAGGAACCGAAGGGTTTGTGGTGTATAGTGATGCTTCAAAACTAGGACTTGGTTGTGTGCTAATGCAACAAGGAAAAGTTATTGCGTATGCCTCTCGTCAATTGAAGGAACACAAGAAGCGTTATCCAACTCACGACTTGGAATTGGCAGCTGTGGTTTTTGCATTAAAAATCTGGAGGCACTACTTACATAGGGTGAAATGTCAAATTTATACTGATGACAAGAGCCTAAAGTACTTGTTCGATCAGAAGGAACTGAATATGAGACACCAAAGGTTGATGGAGCTGTTGAAAGATTATGACTGTGAAATTTTGTATTATCCAGGAAAGGCGAATATGGTGGCCGACGCCTTAAGTCGCAAAGAAAGGAGGGATCGGGTGAGGATTAAGGCAATACGAATGAAAGTTACCCCTAGTTGGACGAATGAACTCAAGAAAATCCAAGAAGAAGCTTTAATAGAAGGGAACTTGAAGGACGAGAGAATGGTAGGTAATGTTCCATACCTTGAAGTTAACAATCAAGGGTTAAAGTGCTACAAGGGTGGAATTTGGATTCCTCGCTTAGGGAACTTTCATAACCAAGTGTTGGACGAAGCCCATAAATCTCGTTATTCTATACACCCGGGTAACAATAAAATATATTGAGATCTTCGTCAATCATACTGGTGGCCAGGGATGAAGAAAGACATAGCCCATTATGTCGAAAGATGTTTGACATGCCTGCAAGTAAAAGTTGAACATCAGCGACCGTATAGCCAACTACAACCTTTGGAAATCCCGATGTGGAAATGGGACCACATCACAATGGACTTTGTGACAAAGCTGCCAAAACACCGAAGGGTTATGATGCAATATGGGTAATCGTTGATAGACTCACTAAGTCAGCACATTTTCTGCCAATTAAGGAAACATACTCGTTGGAAAGATTAGCTAAACTTTATATAGACGAGATTGTGACTCGTCATGGTGTTCCATTATCGATAGTCTGTGATAGGGATAGTCGGTTTACTTCTACATTTTGGCAAAGCTTTCAAAGAGAGTTAGGGTCACGAGTAAAACTAAGTACAACTTACCACCCGCAAACAGATGGTCAAAGCGAGAGGACCATACAAACCTTAGAAGATATGTTACAGGCATGTGCTATAGATTTTGCAGGATGATGGGAAAGTCATCTCCCATTGATAGAACTTTCCTATAACAATAGCTTTCATGCTAGCATCCAAGTTGCACCGTATGAAGCTTTGTATGGAAGGAAGTGTCGAACGCCCTTGTGCTGGAATGAGGTGGGCGAGAAACAATTGGCTGGACCTGAAATAATTCAGCAGACTACAGATAAGATAAACCAGATAAGGGAAAAGCTGAAGATAGCTCAAGACAGACAGAAAAGCTATGCTGATAGAAGACGGAAGCCAATAGAATTCCAAGTTGGGGACAAAGTTATGCTTAAGATCTCACCCTGGAAATGAGTGGTCCGTTTTGGAAAGCGAGGGAAACTAAGTCCCCGTTACATTGGTCCCTACAAGATAATTGAAAGGGTAGGCGAGGTGGCCTATAAATTGGAGCTACCTGAAGAACTTCAAGGAATCCATCACACGTTCCATGTATCCAATCTAAGGAAGTGCTTGGCTGATGAAAGTACTAAGCTAGCTCTTAAGGATGTAAAGTTGGACCGAACTTTGAGTTATATTGAAGAACCAGAAGTTATCGTTGATAGAAAGATAAGGAAACTAAGAAATAAAGAGATTGCTCTTGTGAAAGTTCAATGGAGACATCATAGAGGATCGGAAGCAACTTGGGAACCCGAGAAGCAAATGAGGTTGAAGTACCCTCATGTATTTGCGTAAGGAAAATTTCGAGGACGAAATTTTATTAAGGGGGAGAGGTTGTAACAACCCAAAAAAATTAATTATATAGGAAGGATCCTTTGTATCAAGGCAAGAAAGAAAAGGATATGAAATGCTTATTTCCTTAATCTTGCACTTGGCAAACAAAAGGTTACAATAACAGTAAAAGTAAATGTATAGCGCATGGATTTCTTCTTCAGTTGAATGGTTGCAAGGCAAGATGTAGATAAATGTGTAGGCTATTCTATAAAAAAAGGTGGATGAGCAAAGCTGGCAGTACCTAGATAAAAACGACGGAAACAGGAAACAAATATTTGGTGCGTTCGGTATCGAAACGATAAGCCTTCTATGCCTAATTACTTGTAATTCTATTCATGGAAGTTTCTGATAAGAGTTGGTTTGGGGCTTCCATTTTGGTGAGTTCCCGTAGGCGGTGTTACAGAACCGCCATTAGTTGGTACTCCAACCGCAACTCTCGATGGTGGTGGGTTCCAACGAGAATTTTATGGCTGTGAAGTTTGCGTAGAGGAAACCCACCTAAAACGCCCTCCGATTTCAGGCAAAGTTCCCGATGGAAGTTGGTTCGGGGCTGCCGTTATTGGAGTAGGGCAAGTGAATTAACAATAAAAACCAGGTTTACCGATTTAGAACCTTTTGTCCGAACATGTCCGTATATAGGTGATGAACCACTATGGGTCTTTTTTTTTTTTTGAAACCTAGTAACTTGGTAAAGAAGGAGAAAATGATTGAAACAGGTTATGAAACTTTGGAGTTGAGATTAAATTAAGAGTAAAAATGGTGATGAAGGTTTCATGGTTTACGGAAGGTATGCAGTGAGGAAGAAATAACGAAGAAAGCAAAAAGAAAAGGCATACATGTTCTTCATGTATGCAAGAATATATTAATATTAATAATATTATTAATATTATATTAATAATATTAATAAGATGTTTAAAATGACTCTCAATATCTTTAGAGAAAACTAAAATATCATCAATATAGACAATAATAAAATTGCTATAAGGATAAAAGATATCATTCATGATCTGCTGGAATTCAGAAGGAGCATTTTTTAATCCAAAAGGCATGACCTTCCATTCATAATGTCCCATGGGAACATTAAAAGCAGTTTTATAAATATCATTTTCAGCAATCTGGATTTGCCAATAGCCAGATTTCAGATCAAATTTTGAGAAGATGAGAGCCTGGAAATAAACTCCTCAGAAGGTTCAGTCGAAGACTTAAGCTTAAAATCTTTTATCTCAGGAGGAGGCTGAATAGTATTTGATGTCAAAATAACCTTTTCAGAAGAAGAGGAAGGGATATCAGCTGGAGAAACAATTTGTTTTTGCTGATTTGTCTCAATTTGAGAAATCTTTTGTAAAATCAACAGGATGGTTTCTTGCTAGGGATATTCCTAGACAACCAATAATTCAGAGTGATTTTAGCAATATCACTCAGACTGATTGATGGCCAAATTCATAAAATGAAATGGGCCAAGACTCCGAATCTAAATAAATATTATTATGGTCGTCCCACTCCTATGGATGTTCTTCATGAAGAACAGGAGTACATTATTAATAATAGTTATAATGGTAAATGTATTTATGAGTGGAGTCTCGATGGCTTTACTGATAAACATATTTATAATATGGCCCATCGTATGTTTATGTATAGTACGGTGTGTAAGAATACAGGCAATAATGATAAAGCTATTGCCAAAATGAGGTACAAAT